TTAAAAGATATTCTGATGTAAACGTCAATAAAATATTTTTGTTTAACGTTATTCTATTTGTGATGTCATATTAACTCATTTTTGCATGGTCAAACAGTCTGTACACCTAAAATCAAAATTTACTCATTCGCAACCATTTTTTAAGTCTTCGAAATTTTCCACTATTCAGAAAAATGGCATCTTCAAACAACTCAATATAAACTTCAATATTTATTTAATATTTTCAATTTCCTTAAAGTCGTTATTTATTAACACATATATTGGGTCCATGGATTGGTTCCGGTCTAAGGGTGATTAGCAATCATATGTAAATTCTAACACTTCATCAGTGAGATCAACTGTATTTGTAAGAGAGAAGTAGTGGGCATGAATTAACTGCTTGCGTACTGCCGCTGTTAAGCATGCTTTACGGAAGTTTGACGCATCTGATTTAATCCTCATTACATTAGCCTTCAAGCTGCTAGAGGAGCTACTAAGAACTCAGAATTTTAGTTTCGGATCAACGGGGTATCTATCGTCTAGGACGAGTTTAATAACCCAAGAAAAAGGCAGGGGTCTTCGCCGCTGAAAAACTAGAAAAAGTAAAGAGTGACGAAAAAAGACGGGGAATCATGTTTATGAACCCTTGATAGACTGTTGGCTTGCGTCTATATTTTGCGCGACGAAGATATAGTTTCTTTGGTTTTAGTTGGATTTGTGCGTAACCTGCTAACTAGAAAGGTCTTAAAACGAAGGGAAACTTGAACCGATAGCACACAGTGACGAGCGCACGCTAATTGATGATTGATGTCCTTCACTGGGATTGGTTCAAATTAGCCGAGGAATTTCGGACCCGCCAATGAGACGATGCCTGACACATAAAATTTCTGATTGGTTGAAGCACACAACTAGCCAACTGACTGTTAGGCAGCCAAACTCTTTGTCCATAAAAGCTGGTGCGACCGGCCTTCGTACAAACTTTACGAGAAAAGATGTCTTCTGCTGGTAAGTCCGCTTAATGAGTAAGCAGGTCAACTACATATCATATGCCTCCCTTTTCTGAGTGCTTCTGAGTTCTGTTAAACCGTAGTATAGAGGAACTCTAAGATATATTTTCCGTCTCTGAGTGATTGGGCCGTTTGAGCAAGCACCCTAGGGACCTAGAATAGGAGCTTAAATTTAACAAAGCCAATATGATTTCAGAAAATGGTTTCAGATGGCGTGGAAACTGGTTCTTTTTCCAGACGTCCTATGAGGACACGGCGATATCGGACCGATGGAAGAGACGTGACCACTCTATTTGCTGACCGTCAAACTTCAAGATTTTTAACATAACCCCGGAAAATGTGTACTGTTTTAGTCATAGATACCTGTCTTCTGATAGAATTAAGAACATTTGGACCATAAAAGTTGGCTTTGATCCAGCTATTGTTCGACAAGGCCTTTACCGGTACGCCTACGACAAACGTGCCGTTTGGGGACGATATTGTTCAGCTTCGCTGGCGTCGTGAGCAAAAAGTACCTGCATCAGAGGTCTAGGGCATTGTCCTACAATAGCACTTCCTGAGTAATGCTCGCATCTGTTATCTCAGCGAGCGAATTGGGGTCGAAAACTGCCCTCAGTGTCCCAAAGCAGCCGGTAAAATGCCAGCATAATCGCTACTGCTGTCCAGTTAGGGCGGACTGTTTTACGCGCCAAAAAGACGCGTACTAGCAAGTGCAGGGAGACCGAGATGAACGTTTCTGACCGTTCTGTTTTTCCAGAGCACAAACACTGCCCGGAGCACGAGAAGGGGCATGAGCATAGCCACGGCCACGAGCACGGCTCCGAGGAGTGCAAGAAGGTCTGCAAGGACGAGAAGGCCTGTCACGTGGACTGCCACAAGCCCGGCACCGGACACACCAACCCACCCGGCTGCCATGAGAAGCACCCGGAAGGTGATGCCAAGCAGGCCGCCAAGGAGTGCCACGGCTGCTGCAAGTAACTGCCCCTCCCGTTAATACGATCGGCCTGACGCATTTTACTGCTTTTTCGTTGGTTCCTTCTTCTGACATATGCATAACTGTTTGTTAAGATCTTAACACTTTACATCTTGGTGTTTTTTTTTCCTAATCGACCTAAAGCATCTTCCGCCAGTGATTGGGGCGCGGCGAGGTAGTCTCGTTGGGGCTGGTCGCTTTCGCCCTCAGCTAACTGTCGAGAGGAGGGGGCTAATGGTAGGAAACAGCTCAAGATGAACGGACGTTTTCGCAGATGAGGAAGAAACTGCAGAGATGCGGGTTACTCAGTTTTTGTCGAAAGAGATTTCAGTAGGAAACGCCTGCAACACGGGTGGCTTTGAGGCATCATCCACTGTAATTAGGGTTGGGTTTGAAATAAGGGTTAGGGTCAGATGTGGTTATGTAGCCGTACTTGAGATAAACAAAACCCAGTCGTCTGTAATACGGGACCGGTGATGATTGGGGTTTTTACAGGTGGGGCCGGGAAACGCACAGACGACCAGGTCAAGTAATTGAACGTAAAAGAAAAGCTATTGGGAAGGCCCGGTTTTACTTTGAGTGGTTGAGGAATAGTTGCCCTAACCGTAACCGCTAAGTCCTAACAGTATTGTGTCCACCAGATGCGGCTGCATAACCACACCTTACCAGGATTGGGTCTAAAGCCAGATTTAAAGTTAACGGTAACGCAAGTCAGGATCAAGTTTAGGGTTAAGGCAGGGGTCAGTGTTAGCTGCAAAGTTAAGGTTCAGGCAGGGGTTTGGGTCAAGATTAGAGCATTGCTGAAGAAGGAGACACGATCGCGTTACTCACACTGAGGCTGTTGAACCATGCTGCTTACTTGCCTGTCTAGATTCAGTCGCCTGAGTCGGCTTACTGCGTACGGTCCGTACGTGGAAACGGCGTAAATAAGTTCAGAATCGTACGGAAACACGTTCTATAATTGGCGTACAGTCAGCAAGTTGTGGCGTATAGTCAGACGGACAGTGTCAAGTTGCGCGGGCAGAAAACGGGAGATTCAAACAAATAGTACGAGGGTTGGAGGAAAACAAAAGGCCATAATTTTCCGAGGCAAACAGGAAATTTAAAGTATGCGGTAAAAGGTGTCAAAAAAGGGACAGCATACGTGGGAATGTACAGCATCTAATACGGGGCCGGTGGTGATAGGGGCTTTTACAGGTGGGACCGGGGAACGCACATGCGACGAGGTCAAGTAATTGTATGCAAAAGAAAAGCTATCGGTAATGCGCGGTCAAACGTTGAGTGGTTGAGGAATAGTTGTCCTAACCGTAACCGTTAATCCCTAGCAGTATTGTGACCATCAGGTGTGCCGCTGCATACTACATTTTACCAGGATTGGGTCTAAGACCAGATTTAAAGTTAAAGGTAACACAAGTCATGAGCAAGTTTAGGGTTAAGGCAGGAGCCAGTGTTAGCTGCAGAAATGAGGTTCAGGCAAGGGTTAGGGACAAGACTAGGGCAACGATTTAATTTTATATTAGGGCTCTTGTTGGGATTAAGACACGGGAATATTATTCCCTTTCTGGAATTGTGCGCCGGTTCACTTTTTTACTCGGGAGGGTCGTTCCTCTTTCCATGTCCTGTTTAGACGTCCACATAGGTCAGTCCCGCCGAGATTTCCATTGTTCCCCTGTACGTAAAGGTATCATGCTGGTCAAAACTGAGAGTCCTAGCTCCCGAAGGACACTATAATCAACTATGGAAATTTTTCTTCTCAGATGCGTGAAAGGTGAAGGAGGGGAATCATTGTGCGAAGGCAGATGAGCCCGGGTTCGCCGGCCTGACTTGACGGCGCGTCCGTTTGCCGATGGAGTCCACTGGTCTGAACGAGGGCTGCTACTGTACTCGCAGGTTGATCGTTTGACCGATATCACGACGACTTCAGAGGGTTAGACGGGATGCAATGCGTAGCCCATCAATCTGATTGTCGAGTCCGTTTTTGCCTGGCAGAAAACTCGGATCGAGTCATCGGAAAGCATCGGCCACTGTCTGATCGGATCCGAGATAATGATATTGGTTTTGGAAGCTAGGAGGCCTCACCGGGAGACGTGAGTTTAATCGCGTGGCTTAAACGTTGGGTCAATATGAAGTAACTGTTCACCAAATAGGCTGCGGACCATGCACAACTTTAGTGCAGCGTCGCTATACGGTGGATCAAAGGAGGGACAGCTTTCACCGTCAAGCACAGCAACGGTTGCCTGGTTGGTCGAGGCAGAAATCGACAAACTATGGCCGTGCAGGGTAGATACAAGACAATAATCTAGGTTTCATTGACACTAAGTCAAAAGCCCATACGTTGGCCGGTAGGGATAGTTTTTGTGGTCCTTCCCCCTGCTAGGACACGGGAATAGGCATCCCCCTTAATACAGGCCAAGGGAATTAGGGCCAGGGTTAAGAGTAGGGTTAAGGTTAGTGCCAAACTTTGGAAACGGGGATAGGCACTCTCCCTGGAATCTAACTCAAGGCCACCTGTATTACGGGGACGGGGGTTCCTATGCTGATGCCCTGCCAGGGGGAAGCACATAAACGACCCTCAACTGTAGGTCACCGGCGCGCGAAAAGAAACTACAAGTAACGGAGTCAGCTTATTATTCACTTCCATAATGATTAATTCCTAGGGCAGGCAGGCCTGGTCTAGATCATCACTGTCCGATCTTCAGTTTAAAACTGATCGTAACTTTTGTAAACTTAACTCAAGTGCGCGGCCTACCTTTAGAGGGTCCCCGTTCCAACTAGAACGTCCAACGGAACTCTCAAAAGAATAGAAGGCCAGATAGACAGAAGACGTATGGGATGTGTACTAGATAACACCTTCCATTAATATAATCAGAGAACGCGGTCTAGTGTCCGCAGAATATGGACTGCATTCGCGGGTGGTAACCTGCTTCAACTGTCTCCCCAATTTTGGATCTTGCATTTCAGATAGCCTCAAAAGAAATAAATCGAGTGGGATAAAGTCAGGGCACCCAGACGGCTAGTCCATGGGCCTACCTAGGCCAATCCATCCGTTTATAAGTACGGTAAGATGTGGTTATGTAGCCCCACCCGGTGGACACGATACTGTCGGGGTTGGCGTTTAGGCGTTGGGGCAACTATGTCTAAATCACTCAAAGTACAACCGCGCATCGCTAATAGTTATTCCTTTGCATACAGTGACCGTGACCGATCTCATGAAATGTTGGCCAAAATTCTGGAATGCGTTCCCGATTAGGAAGGATTGCTTAAGTGGGCTTCTTATACCGATTATCATGCAGCATAATCTTATAACATTTCGGACTCGACAGGATGTCGGCTTTTGAATGCACTGTTTTTTGACCTCCTGCAGAAACCACTCTCGGTAAAAAATGACTACTTAGGTAGAATACGTTTTTCTTATTGATTTGCGATGGTCTTATAAATTCAAATATAATATATGCTTTCTTTTGCTCATTTGGTAGGAAATCCCATTGTCTTCATATTTTGTGCTCTAAGAAAGCGTATATTTTGGTTTTAACAAGGTTCCCGATTTCCGAATAATTTCCAGCCTGATCTGCCATTGCATCAGCGTTTAGCAATTTCAGTCTACAAGGTGCATGCTTTCCGCGTAAGGAAAATCATATATTCCTCTATGCCTTTAAGAAGATACCACATAGAGTTCATGAAACTTTGCAATGGATCCGGACTGTGTTGTACATTTCGTGAGGAGCATTAGTAAACGGACATGTGCAGTCTTGCATACATGGACGTCGCACGGTCTTAATAATCTCATAATTAGAAACTTCTTTAAAGCCCAAATATACGCTTTTTTCGAACACAAAATATAAAGACAATGTGATTTCCTACCAAATGAGCAAAATAAAGCATATTTTTGTGCATGTTTTCCATTAAATATATTTGAATGTATAAGACCATTGAAAAGCAATAGGAAAAATATATGCTACATAGGTAGTCATTTTTTTTACCGAGAGTGGTTTCTGTTGGTCAAAAAAGAAGTGCATTCAAAAACCGACATCCTGTCGATTCCGAAAATTTATAGGATTATGCTGCATGATAATCAGTATAAGAAGCCCACTTAAGTAATCCTTCCTAATCGGAAACGCATTCCAGAATTTTGGCTAACATTTCATGAGATCGGTCACGCACTATATAACTACATGGCCTCGTCGCCTGTGAGTTCTCCGATCTCACCTGTAAAAAGGCCTATTGCCACCGGTCCCGTATTACAGGTGGCTGGAGTTTGTTCACTTCAGGTGTCACATTTGACCATAAGTACTTTATGCTATACATTTTTGTGTTCCCATGTCTACCTTGGATGTATTGGACGTTGCTTAACGTTCAGGATTTAATTGGTAGCGTGCTTAAATTGCGTGCACAATAAAGTCAGTCACCTCTACACCGACGATGGAGCTCTGCACTCGAGACCAGGCCCACCACCCACAGCACAAGGCACCTCACGATCGAGCAGTACTCATAGGGATTAAAAAAATGGGCGACACGCTCAGCCCATTGTTTTTGGCTTTTCGAGTCAACTAACAACTTCCGGTGAATGGAAAGAGAAACGCTTGTTTAACTTATTGTCAAGTAAGCCCAGACAATTCCCTGTTCGTGGTTCATAGTTCATTCTACTGCATTTCGCTGTTATTGTCTGTAGGTTGTAGTCTGTTGGCATTTTTGTCCGGCAAGAGGTTGTTGTTGTCGTCAAATGAGGCACTCGCTGGCACAACAAGTGGCCTTGATGGCAAAAAATGGTCTCCAGGCCCAAGTCGGGCAAGTCCAACAACCTGTTTAATGGACGGGCATTTGTCGAGGATTGAAGCATATGCAGGACCAGAGGGCCACATCGACACTTAGCGGATTACACTAAACACATGTTTGGCAGAGACCTAAAACGCGGTCCCATCTGGTAAACCGGAGAACCCTAAATCTTAACCCTAAATAGTGACCTTAAACCCTAACCCTAGATAATAAACCTAAACTTGACCCCAAA